CGTTCCCATCGGGATATTTGTCGCAACTTTACTGGCGGATCATAAAATAAATCAGGCTTGTTGTCGCCAGCGATACGTTGATTTACGCCCGATAGTAACTCCAGAAGTCTCGAAAGGATTTCCACCGGATTAGATGCTGACCTAATCCTTAAGTTTTACAAGTGAATTTTGTTGAATTCTTCAGTTCAACCTTTTTGTAGTAAAGCGAGGTTTATTACGTGTTTATGTCCATAGACAAAAACGCAACCACGCTATTCGTCTCTCTTTTAACGCGATCTTGTTAAGAATTAGTCAACTTGTATTTGATGAGAGTTACTCTTATTTCAATCTATACTTCTTTGGTAAGCAATAGCCGTTTCCCATGTCTCAGTACAAGAACAGTCTTTTAACCAATAACGCAGCTATGTTTAACAATCATTCAGTGGAACTGCCAAATGCTAATTAGAAACCCAACAATAAACTTAAGTAGGTACCTAGTTGCTCATTAATTATTAAAGAACTACCACAATTGTGTAAGGCCGATATGTTTTCTTAAAACCAATTTTCTTTGTGGCTATTGTTAGGTACAGTTATTTCTTGTTTCCTCCCACGTTTTTGTCTAGTTTCTATTTGAATCTTTAATGTCATGTTGTAAATTTTGGTGAATTTTAGTAGTTTTGCGACGCTTCACATGCTGGGACGGGCAATGGCTTGTATAATTAGTATCACATTAAGTCATGCCACACGTGATCAGCTTCGCATAATAAGACGAAACACTAACATGAACACATTGTTTCACGAGTTGCAAGTTGCAATCGCATTCAATGACACTAACATTACAACATACAAAGATAAAGACTGTAAAGTACAAAGCTACGCTAGCTAGCTGTAAGAATTATTATACGTAATGTTTGAAATTGTAGAGAAAAAATATTCTTCGAGCATCGGAAATGACAGCAGAGGAAACTCAAGAAGAATCTCTATTGCTGGTAGATAATGAATCTACTCTTACGGGGGATATTGTTCTTTTCTCATATAAAAAACATATAGCTGGTTGTAGCCAGTATATTGAACTTAAAATAAATGCAATGCGAATATGATGTCTACATAATAACGTCTTCTTCGTCTAGTACTTAGATTGCAGATTTTGTGCGAAAATGTCTGGCGTCTGTCTGACAGATGAAGGCAATCTGTGCCGCAATAATACTTACTAACACTTACTTGAATTGAAAACTTTAGTTTTAGACACTGTGGGGAATCGATAAGGTTGCTAAGAAAGTAGACTAAAGCCCTTGGGACGTAAATTCAATATAAGATCGAAAAGGTTCGCTTGAGATGGATTGAGTTGTGATTCACTTTCGTGCATTGATCTCTATAAACCCAACTAAATATTTAACGATCCAATAAAAGATAAAACTTAACAAAGTTTAATAGGATTTTCGTCGGATTTACTCCCAAATATTGTAAAACTATTTTTGTAGCCAGTATAAGATTAATTTTATCACATTTTTTTGTGTTGTAAATGCTAGATCCTAATCATGTTTAGGTAATCCATTGACGTTAATTATAATTGATTAAGATTATCCACGAATTATATTTGTAGAGACACTTTGATAGGGACGACAGTATGAAATATTTTAGTAAATTGAAGAGGTAAAATACCAAGAATTCTTCGTGGAATAGAATACCAATACTCAATTTCTCACGTCACACATCAGGCTTGTGTTAGCTATTAGAGAATTGGACTAATCAGTTGTTAGTTATTTGCAACTTTATTGTAGTTACGTTTCAGTTAAGGAAGCGATGTCATAAGTTACTCTGAGCGGAGGTAATGTTGCATAGAATATTTGTTTTAATAAACCCAATCTCTAAATATATATTAAATATTTAATTATAAACAATTTTACTTTAAACCAAATTTAATGAGATCAAAAATGATAACAATTTTTATAATTTAATATTTTAGTATGAATATAATTACATTTGAGATTAAATAAATAAAATTAAAGTAGTAGAAAATAGAAGACACACATAGCGTGGCGTTGTTTTATTTCATTTCTCCGAGGTAAGCAAGGTCGGGTACCCGCTAGTAATAGATATTTTGTAATCAACGTTCGCATGGTTTTCTTCTCCCAATGCGTCCAAAATGGACAACGCATAGCAACATTGGTTCTGGCGACAATTAACTAAAATTATTTAAGGATTTATTAATAAAATATCAGTTTTGCTGATATTTTGCCAGTAGATTAATAAATCTTAAGATATGCTATCAATGAATCACACTTATACTTCCTATATCGTGACCTTACACGATTAGCACCATATTATGTCGTGAGTCCTCGGACCTCGCAAAACGACATTGCCCTCGCATGTTTGCCAAGAAATTACATGTGGTAATGACACTCTTGATTATAAATCACTAGCTTTCTGGAACCCTTGTCAATTTCTAGACAGACTGAAATAAATCCGGTATGTAGTTGCTTTAGTGACTAAATGACTTCCCCCGTCCAAGGTAAGGCGAGAGGTAGGCCCGGACACTTTCTGACTAAACACACAACCAGTCCTTCTCCTGCTTTAGGCTGAGGCCGCGGTGACTTATTGCGCGTGCCTCGCAACCCCGGCTGAACATCAGCTCTATAGGGCCCCGTCTGTGGTGGTCTATGGACTCTTTGAGGCGCGTGCGGTACGCTACGCGCCGTACGCTCGAGTCTAGTTCTGGTCGGGCGGCGAGCTACTCTTAGGGTTGGTACTCATCTGGCAGTACGGAATTGGATTTGGCGTGAGGAGTATAGCTCACTCACGCACCCCGCCCATTGCTTCGCAGAAAAAGAAGACGGCTCCCAGTTCCTCTCGCTCCGTACCATGGGCTCGACTAAAGCTGGGCGTGAGAGGTCGCCGCCGCCAACCCGATCACTTCCAGAGGTCAATGCTTAGCCTAAGCAGGGCACACCGCCACCGTATGTTCCGTGTCATCTGGGTGGTGTCCTCACAATGACGATACTTGGGCTTTTCCTTCCGCCAGATCCAAAACAGGAACCTACCGACGCTGCCTTGCCCGGTAAGCATCTGCGTCAGGCGGAAGGTCAGGACGCCATAGCGTTTCTCAATCCACTCCTCAAAGAGAGGTCTTACCGTTGCTATAACTGCGTGCCCGATGTACTCACCGGCTGGCTGAACGTGAAGATTAAGAAAGGATAAAGCCAAAAAATATCTACGAATATACGCAGATGATGATTTGTGCTCAACTTTATGGACAATTGCCTACTGTTTTTGTAGCAGAATTAAAAGGAGAATTTCGCCTTTGCGACCGAGCTAAACATAAACACAATTTCGAGAATGAAATTTTCACGGTACGTAACCTAATTTGACAGTAATGTAAACAATGTTAACATCACGTGACACTTTATGTAGTGCTGAAGAATAAAACGGTGCGTAAATACACGTCACCCGCGTAAATCGGAACACGTCACATCGTCCAACGACCGACGGCGACGAGCTCCCAGACTGTTCGAAAGCAGAAATAAAATTAATAGTCTGTTGGATGAGGGAATCTAAATGCGCGCCAAATGCGCAATTGCAGATAATAACCGCCAAAAATTCGTGCCACGTTCTAAAAGTGGTTTCCTGTAAATATTTTGTTTGTGACTGCTATTTACATTGTAAATCAGTTTATTAATGATGTGACGATTACTTTTAAACCAACATTAATTAATGCTGCACGTTTTTGGAACACATCCCAGACAGTGGTCTTGACCTTAGACCCTTAAAAAGTGCAGTATGTTATTTTTAACTTTGTCATATTATTTTAATAAGTAGGTGATATTTACACCGGCACCATTTTTTTTCCAAACTATAAAGACCCAGTTACTACTCATATAATTTACTAAAAAATAAAAACAGTAAAATTGTTTAAGTACTTAACTAACAACTTTTTTTATTTGTTTATTCATAGTCTTTGACAATAATGTGATTGACATTACTTGTTAATTAAATATCTATTCCAAATTCAAATGCACTTTGCTTAATTGAGTAGTTGATTACACTGTGAAACAAATGAAAACAGTTGCTAGGGAGTGATTGTGTTGTAGATTTACTACTACAATGCACACAAATGATATGTACGGGTAAATAATGTAAAGTGTAGGTCCAGCCAATCAAATAACAGTATATTTTACAAACAGGGCAGAAGATAAGCTATTAATAAACAGCCAACCAATGAATCATTTGATTGTGTACCTTAAATAGCTTTAAGGAAATATGAAAAAAAATAAGAGTGGCAAGTGGGTATCATTAAGAATTTTAAATGTTTACCACGACTAATTATTTTATTTCCAATTTTGTTACACAAAATGAGAATTTTACAATATTGTATATCTGGTTTATAATAATTTATTTTTTAATAATTAGGTAATATTAACTTTCTAGTTTGAGGTCTTGGTCTTTTTATAAGGAAACTTGAAGCTTATAAAGCTCAAAAAAAGCGGATTATAATTAGGCAAGTATGTTATAACTTGGAAGTAAAAACTAGAAATGTTGTGATTTTGTTTTATTGGTTTCTTATTGTGAGAGAAGAATGTTGTGAAAAAATATACATACATCATCCAAATCATGTCTCTAACAAAGTAGGTACCTAAATAAAATCCAGTCAGCTGTTTGCCCTACCTCCACACAGGTGAAGCTACAAGGACATTGGAGCTGCAACTTTCTAATGACTAATTTTTGAGAGTTAGCACTACCCAAGGATCAATTCACATCAGACAGATGTCGCCAGACAACATATTGAATGAATACTATTTTTAAACTCAATATTTTATGGTTATATTAAACTTTTCATTTAAAAACCGAAAGTTATTACTAATACCTACATTAAACTTTTTACTACTTAAGTATTTCAATTAACAGCTGCTCTGTTAAAAGTTATTAGAATACTATAAAGATCTATGATAGGTAACTAAAATTCATGCATGGCTAGTTTCACGTTTACAGGACCAAAATAATAAAAATAAATTTAGAACACTTACCAAAATACTTTATTCGACTGGTCGATGCTAGAAAACAGCTCGGATCATCGCAATACTCGCGTAAAATCACTTAAAGATACACGAAAATAAATGAAAGTCGATAAATAGTGGAAACAACAATAGAGTGTAAAATGTTAGGCACTTGGTTTCGTTTTTAATCGCTCAATCAAGAGGTACCGAACTACTTTAACGCTTATTTAATAGGAGTCGCAGAGTATCTTAAAAAATCTTGTAAATTTTATTGATAATTAACGTTATCAAAGCAGTATTGACAAAATCCAACAACCTAAAATTCGCAAAATTGATCTAAAAACCTCGACGAGCGATCCTATAGAATGGAAATGAAATAAATAAAGAGAACGGACACCAAAAAGTAAATGTGAGAGTGACTCGATTACTAACTCGATTTCACTCACTAGATTCGATTCCTTTCTTTCGTGTGATGACAATACTATTTTAATTTCACTACTCGCCTAACAAAATTGAAACACTACTTGAATGATTTAAATTAACAAATGATTAACTTGATGCAAGTACCAATTTATAAAGTCAATGTAAACAAAATAAATGATAAAAGTCTTTTTGCATCGTTTTCTGCTTAAAATTTTATCAATGTGACTGTCGAGAATATCTGCTAAAATAACGTTTCGTTCCATGGAGCGCAGGTACACACTGACAATAGAGTGACAGCTGACAAATTTGAAAATTGTTTTAGTAACTGAAATCGTTATCGTTTGTTTAATTTGTGTTTATCCAAAACTTATTATTGGGTACAAATAAATTCCATTCCATCATGATAAATAGTGCTTTAGAAAGTCCTCCTTTGTTTTTAGTTGAGGAAAGAATAAAAACATTTAAGAACTGGCCATTTAGTGACAAAAATAAATGTAATGTTCGAAACATGGCTGAAGCTGGATTTTATTCTGTAGCAACGGGGACTGATGATGCCGATGCTGCCAAATGCTTCCTCTGTGGAAAGGAACTAGATGGTTGGGAAGCTAGCGATGACCCATGGGCGGAACACAAGAGTCATGCTATGAAGTGTGCCTTTGTTCAGCTGGGTAAAAAAGAAGATGAACTGCTTGTAAGTTTATTTTTTGTTAGCATTCAGTTAATGTATTGTCATGAGGCAAGAAGTCTTACTAAGTTGATTTGTTTTAATATTTACTTGTAATGTTTTATATTATTAAAGAAACTGAGTTACAATAAGATAATAGAAAAAATAACTCAGACAGAATATAATGAAAAATCAATATTAGTTTTAATAGTAGGTAACAGTTTAGATGTGAAAAAAAGGGACATTGTGAATGGTGTGGACACTTTATTAAAATTAAAATTGGGAAAAATAATACTTTGTGCATTTCCCTATTCAAGTACCTTAACAGACTCCAAAAATAGACATTTAGGTGTACTTAACAGTACACTACACCAATTGACATGTTGTCATAGTGACAAATTAATTTTTTTTGATACTAATAAATTTATTAGTGATTTTATATTGACAGAGAGAGGCATATCCCTCTCAAACACATATAGAAAAACACTTGCTATGCTAATAGCATTCAATATTAACTCTGTTATAAAAAATATAACAGATATTAGTTTTAGGGACGAATCTGTGCTGTCTAGGCTACCTAACAACACAGAGATAGATTTAAACTAGATTTTAAGACAACAGAACATACCATCATATATAATGTTAGTAGTAAGGTATATTCTGGCAAAAAAAAACTTATATCAAATGTTGTTACACAGGCTCAGGGGCAGCACAATCTTATCTTATTTTATATTAATATTCAGGGCTGCTCCTCTAAATTATTTGAATTAGAAATGTTCCTCGAGAAAACACAATTTGATATTGTGTGTTTAGCGGAACATTGGATGAAAGAGGACCAATTAATATCTTTTAATTTTGATAATTATATTGTAATAAGTAATTTTAGTAGAAAATATATGTTACATGGTGGGTCCTTAATTTTAGTTAAAAATGGCATTAAGTCCAAAGAAAGGAAAGATATTGTAGCACTGTCAGTTGAACACACTATTGAGTTGTCCTGTGTTGAGCTGGATAAACATGTTGTTGTTTGTGTTTATAGACCACCTAATTATCAGAATCTTGCAGTGTTTGATTCAGTAATGGAAGATGTTTTGAAGAAGGTATGTTCTAGCCATAAATCAGTACTTGTATGTGGCGATTTTAACATTAATTTATTGGAAAACAATGCAGGCAGCATGGAACTATTAAATTTGTTTGGATCATTTAATTTAAAAAATGTTTTTCTGGAACCGACTAGGATAACACCATCCACTGCCACATGTATTGATAACATTTTTAGTAACAGTAACTATTTAGAAAAAAAAATTTTAAACAGTTTACCTTCTGACCACAGTGGTCTTGTGGTAACTTACAGCACTTATTTGCCTCTACAAAAAATTCAAATAAAGTTTAGACATATTACAAATAGAAATTTAGAGAAACTCAATAATTCAATAGCAACTAAATTAAGTGTACAAAATTTTGATGTCATTAATCCGAGCAAGTTATACGAAAAATTTTTTGCGGTGTTAAATAGGGAATTTCAAGCTATTTTGCCAATGAAATGTAAAGACATCTATTCTAAGTTTCAGTTTAGCGATTGGGCAACCGTAGGTATTCGTAAGAGTAGAGATAAACTTTTTGAACTTTATGGCATGAAACCATTTAATTGCGACCCCCTTTTTCATCAACATGTAAAATTGTACTCAAAAACATTTAGAATAGTATGCAAAGCCGCAAAGCGACTTTTCATCAGTAATAAAATAAAATCAGCTGATGACAAGATAAAGGCTACGTGGAAAATAATACAGAATGAGACAGGTAGGAAACGATTAAAAAATTCGGAATTTTGTTTAAACACTGAAAGGGGACAGATTTCGTCAAGCAAAGATGTAGCTCAGGAGTTTGAGGCATTTTTTGCTAATATACCTGTCTCAACAACTGCTCATTTAGAATCATCAGCTAGACTATCGGTAACTTTGCTTAGAGAAAATGTCAAATCATGCAAAGACGATTTTAGTTTTCATTATACTAATCCTTTAGAGATAATAAAGGTTTTTAAAGAAATCAAGATTAAATCAACTGAGGACCTTTGGGGACTATCGGTGAAAGTCTGCGGATCACTTATCCGAACTTTAGCGCCGTATCTGGCTTTGATTTTCAATAAAAGTATAGATGACGGTGTCTTCCCCAACCTAATGAAATACAGTAAAGTTATTCCATTATTCAAAAATGGTGACACTAAGGAACCAAACAACTATAGGCCTGTGTCTGTTCTACCGGTTCTTAGCAAAGTGTTTGAAAAGTTAATGCTATCTCGGATGCTTCATCACTTTGATAAACATGCCATCTTTCATCACCAACAATACGGTTTCACTAAAGGTCGTTGTACAACTGACGCCGGTGTCACTTTGATAAAGGAGGTATTCGGTGCTTGGGAGGAAGCACAGGATGCTGTTGGTGTCTTTTGCGACCTCTCAAAGGCGTTCGATTGCGTTGATCATGAAACACTCTTGCTGAAATTAGATCATTACGGGATTAGACATACTGCACTCCGTCTACTAAAGTCATATTTAGAGGATAGGCAGCTGAGAGTTCATGTAGGTGGTTCTAACTCACGGGGCTCTGAGATAAAAATTGGCGTACCGCAAGGTTCAATATTGGGTCCGTTTCTCTTCTTAGTGTATGTTAATGACTTGCCATTTCTATTTAAAACCGAGCCAAGAATGGTGCTGTTTGCAGATGATACATCATTAATTTTTAGAATAGGTCGACGTGTTAATAATTTGGACGAAGTAAACAGCTCCATTCATCGAGTTCATAATTGGTTTACAGTCAATAATTTAGCACTTAACGAGAAAAAAACAAAATGTATTAAATTTAGCTTGCCCAACGTACACAATAATGATTGTGACATAATTTTAAATGGGCAAAAGTTAGAATTTGTTAACGAGACTATGTTCCTAGGTATTACGCTAGACAATAAACTTCAATGGGGTTCCCACATAAAGACGCTTTCGGGAAGACTGAGCTCAGCTGTTTTTGCAGTTAGACAGATTAGACAGCTCACAGACGTGAACACAGCAAGGCTTGTTTATTTTAGCTATTTTCACAGCATTATGTCGTACGGAATTTTGCTATGGGGTCGAGCTGCGGAAGTAGATTCAATATTTATTTTGCAAAAGCGGGCTATCCGAGCGATATATAACTTGTCCCCTCGTGAATCTCTGAGAGAACTATTTAAAACGATAAATATCCTAACGGTACCTTGTCAGTTTATATATGAAAATATTATGTACGTAAGGAAAAATTTGCAATTATTTGAAAAAAGAAGCGATAGACACAATTTTAATACTAGAGGCAAAGATAGGCTGGCTGTGCCACGATTCCGTCTGTCCAAAGTACAGAAATCCTTTATGGGGTTCTGTGTAAATTGTTACAATAAAATTCCAAGAAGTGTATTAAATCTTAATGAACGAAAATTTAAAACTTATATTAAACGCGAATTATGTAGACAGGCATACTACAAACTTTCAGATTATATTGAGGATAAGAATGCCTGGCAGCATGTTGGTTCGGCTCCACTGGACAATTCTCAAATATGTAGTCAGTAGTTATCAAAATTCTCAAAATTAATGAAACCTTGAATGAGTTTATATAGAAGCATTCTTTTGGATTGTGAGTACGCATATGTGAGCGCCATGTACGAGACAACAAAGGATTAAAATTTTAATGATAGATTAAAAAGACCATCATTTGTTCCTTTTTATTAACAACTTGTCTCTGCATTGTTCTCACATAGGGGTACAGTAATGTATGTATAAAAAATGTATTATTGATGAATTGTAAAACAAATATTTTTTTAAAAGAGTAACGATGGAGTTTCTTGCTCGTTCTTCTCCATTCGAAACTACAATTTGGAACGAGCACCTAGCTTCACTGACGAACAGACTGACAGACTACTATTCTATTTTGACGTTTCAAAAGTACCTATTTATGGTTTATTTGGAATAAATGATTTTGATTTGATTTGATTTGATTTGATTTGAAACATTTAATTTTGTTACAGCTCTCAGAGTTCTTGTCAGTCATCAAACAGTATATGATCAATGAAACCAAGCGCATTGCTGAGCTGGCCAAAGAAAGGATTGATGAGAAGGCAAAGGCAGTGCGCAGAAGATGCCTGGGAAGGAAATGACATGTAACTTAATATTAAATTTGATTATAATGATTTAGATTTTATTGGTGTAACTGTATTGACTGAATGTGAATTTACTAATTAAATGGTTGTTACGGTAAATATTTTGTTTTAGTTTATTACAATTCCCAAAGAATACTCTCTGAGATCCAGATATTTTTCAACTGTTTCGGTTGAAAGCTAGAGGCAAGACTACAAGATAGAAAAAAAATATACTGTGTCTAACTTACATATGTTCCCGCGACTAACTCTAAATGAAATATCAAACTGAGTGTTATGGCAGACCTATGTTTGTTAATTAAGTTTATTCTCAATCACCACTCTGAATCATATTTTCTAAATATGCTCAGAATATCATCACACCACCAACTCTTACGCCTATAATGGAGAATGTCATGTTCAAAACGCATTGGCGATTTAGAACTTCTTATAAGTAATTATAAACTGAGAAAAGTTACTTTGACACAAGTTATGAATAACTGCCGTCGTGCATAGCAGATGTCTTGAACTTGCAGCCAATTCCACAATCCTCAAATGGGCAATTGGCAATGCACTTGCAACTTCACTATAATAAATAATAAAAATAGAATAAATAGTTTGGAAGCCAATCTATCTTTGGGTAGCTAAATCATAAACAATTTGATAAAGCAGACAATCTCTTCTGCACAATGTTCATACCTATTCACCAGTAGCCAAGACAATAAACTTGTTTACAGGTTGCCTAGCAACCATTGAAGCAAACATCAAGTCTTCTGTACTGACAATATTATTATCTTTTAATATTTCCTATTTTATTATACAAATATTACTAAATATATTGCATATTGTGCATAAAAAAGACTGATTTATAACGAAACATGGGTGATGTTAAGAATTTGGAGTCTTACGCCATCATTGGTTTTGATGGTAAGTTCATATTTGTTTTTGAGATCTTTGTAAACTTGGAACTAAGTTTTAATATTAAATAAAGCTGTTATAAGTTCAACAGGTTCAACCTTCTAGATACATTGCTGATAGGAACTCTGCTTTGCCGTAGTCGGGTAAAAATTGCTATTAATTTAGTCAAGGGTCTTGTCATTTTTTCTCGCGTATTGAAGATTATAAAAATTCACTTAAGTACAACCTAGTGATGTCTCCTAGTTCCTGTGACACTTAGATATGAGGATCTAACTAAGTAACAGGGAAAAATAACTGACTTTATTTCAAAACAAATTCTTAAACTTACACAGGCTCTGCTATTCGTGGGCTGAAGGTCCACCCTGACAGTGAACACATAGTGTATCCTATGGGCAACAAGGTGTGCATCCAGGAGTGGAAGACCAAGAAAATGTACTTTCTCAGTGGGCATAGTAACAGTGTGTCGACTGTGGCAATATCTCCCAAAGGAACTTACGTGGGTTCAGGACAAATAAACCACATCGGGTTTAAAGCTTCTGCTAAAGTGTGGGATTTTAAAAAGAAGATACAAATTGGCAGTCATGAGCTGCATAAGGTGAGTGAGTACGGTTAAGGCTGAACGCCGACAGATATCTAACTGTTGAGGGCAAATCCAAGACCCATATTATATTGTTATCCCCCGTAGACAGCGTACCTACAGCGTGTTAAGAGAAAAAGATCTTGTTACAATATAGCACAAAAGACATATTTAGTTCAGATCATAGCGCCTATTTTGATTCTTGCATACATCGCCCAACTATTCGTGTGATGTATCTAGACCCGCTTTTTGTCTTCTCGGATTCCCCTTCTATTATATTTAATCAAATAGATATCGTGCGTTTGTAAACTCAATACTTACAAACACGGCATTTTATTCTCTTTTTAATGTAGGTAAGTGAAATAGGGTTCGGTAGATTATTGAAAAAACCCTTTCAAATCCTGGCCTAATCTCTCACATTCCCCACTTCCCCAGGTGCGTGTAGAATCATTGACATTCTCATCAGACGAACGCTACATGATATCCCTTGGCGGTCGTGATGATGGGTGCGTGGTCCTATGGGACTGTTTTGCCGAATCTGCTACTGGAACTGCAGCAGCAACTAAACTGACCACAGGAGATGCTGTGACGCTGACTGCTCTCAATTTGAGGGTCAATTCATTTGTAACGGGTGGAGATTGTAAGTAGCTGAAGTTTGCTTTGTAGTGAAAAACCTTAGACAGTAATAATATCTTCCCGCCATCCTGACCTTCTACCTGATTCATAAGTAGGTAGGTAGATAGATAGTTATGAATGTCAGGTGCTTTAAATACCCAGATCCTCTATTTTTTCTAAAACACGAGCATAGATACCTACCTACGTGTTTTGTGCGTAGGTAGGTACCTATACCTTCACCCTGATAGGTATGAAGTATAACCAAAGACTTGTTTGTCTGAAGCAAGCACCTGGGTACCTAGGTAGTTATACCCGGTGAGGCACTTACTAGGTAAGTAGGTATACCGAAAATTTTACCAATCCCAAATCGTATCCGCATAGTAATTCAAGTTCTCGAAAGTACCTACGATGGCACGTCAACCAATTCGATACACCATATTTATATACCAGATTTTATATATAGGTATAGCATAGCTACCCAATTTCAAATCTTCAATCAAATAAAAAAAATGTTCTACAGCCAACCTCAGAGTGTGGAACATTCGAGCTGAGAGCAAGAACCTGGACGTGACAGATGTATCGCTCGGTAAACTCCGACGTAGCGTGCGTTGCATCGCCATTAATAAAGACGATTCCTATGGATATGCCGGAACCACGTAAGTTCCTAAATCTTAAATTATTAGGATAGGGATAAACGAGCTTATTAGCAGGCAGACGGCCTGGTGGTAGGAAAATCAATATCGTTCATAGACACTTGTAACTCCAGGGGAATTAGGTGACCTCAACACTTCTTCTTCTTATCTTAGGCTCTGGTAATTCCTTCAACCTGTCAGAAAGGCCATAACTTAGCAATGGGATAAAATGCAGAATCTCTATCTATACTTACTTATTTTTTGTTACCTAGAACTGGCGACATGATAAAGTTTTCAATAAACTACCCTGCTGACCCTACGGCTCCGGTGAATGCGTGTAAACCGGCGCTCATTGGCTGCCTCGCCAAATGTGGACCGTGGAAGAAGGGCAAGAGACCTGAATCCCTTTGCTATAGTCAAGGTACGTATCTGTAACCTGGCGTCTAATCTTCTTTGGCCAAGCCTGCAAAACCTTCCAAAACCGCTGCAACTCCTGTAAGCAGGTAGGTACCTAGGTACAACCGGATATCGTCCGTGTCCCGTGGACATGGGCAACTGTTGTATCCCGTAACGAAATAAATCAGAAGAAATATCTTTTGATTTATCCGATAATGGTCAAAGGAGAAGAAAACGAAATAGTTCCCACTGCCCTCGGTGAATTTAATGCAGGAGACAGGAATAACTCAAGCCAAGATAATTAAAAGTAATAAACAAAATATTCCTAAGTACTACTCTATGAAGTAAGTAGGTATAGCAGATATCTACATTCTTTCCAACGTATAGGTTTTTTTTTAATTTTTGCAAACAAGAAGAGCGTTGGATTCTCTAGTAGGAATAACGAACTCAGTTAAAACCACTGTCTTCATTTAGGAATCGAATCAATCCTCATAATGGACGACGGATGCCTCATAGTGGGCGCTGGAGACGGAACAATTGATATCCTGGACGAGATCAACTGGAAAGGTACCTTCCCCAAAGGCAAGATACTGGAACCCAATAAGCCACATTTCAAGGCGGTTAGTAATTTTAACAAGTAATTTTCTAAGCTGAAATACCTAGAATGAGAGTATCCCAGTCAAGGTTAAAAGAGACAACATAGGTAACTGAGGAGTCTATTAAATGTGGTCTACTTATTTTCTTACCAATCTGGAAGCTCCGGAGACCAAATCGTGATCGATGTATTTCCCACTTTAGATTTCGGCTAGATAGTAGGGGTTTTCTCCAGTATGACAACACTGACACTTTATAGCGATAATTTAGGTTTATTTGGTTACAAAATATTTAGATTATTTGTTTATTTATTTAGTTTTATATATTGCACACATTTGACATGATCTTCTTTTTATTCACGAGTCATTAAATTTTTCTAACAGTTAGTTGCCTAGCAATGTACCAAAGAGCTTTTCACTAGTGCTATGCAACCTCAACACTTTCCCTCACTAGTTGGAAAGATCTTGCAGACCCAAATCCTCTCTCAGTTTAACGAGTCTGGGTCTTGGTACTGCCTTCGTCAAAAGGTCAGCCAATTTCTCTGTGGAGCTAGTTTTCTGCACATTCAATAGACCTTCTTGCACAATTTCACGTACAAAGAAGTGACGTATTCGGATGTGTTTCGTCCGTTTATGAAATTCGGGATTGTGGGCAAGGCGAATGGCTGCTTCATTATCCACGCTTAAAGTTGATATGTCCGCCAAACTTGTAAGTTGAGCATAGATCCTCTGAAGCCACACAAGTTCTCGTGCACCTTCGCTCGCTGCCACAATTTCCGCTTCGGTTGTTGAAATCGCGACCGATGCTTGACGTTGGCTTAGCCACGAAACAACTCCATCAGCATACATACAAATAACGCCTGTGGTTGAGCGTCCACTAAGCTCATCACCACCGTGATCTGCATCACTATATCCTCGAATTACAGCTTTGCAAGGACCCGAACTGTATTTGATGCCATGGGACATTGTTCCTTTAAGGTATCTGAAGATCCTCTTGACTCTCAGCCAATCAGCTTCTGTCGGATTCTCCAACTTCCGTGATACTACCCCAACAGCATACGCGATATCGGGGCGCGTCCCTGTCATCAGGTATGCTAAGGCTCCTACTGCCTCTCGATAAGGAAACTTTTTCTCAGGTGCTTTCCCTGTTTCTGAAGTCACTGTTTCGATTGGTGTAGAGACGGGATTGCAGTCAATCATATTGAAGCGTTCGAGGATCTTCCGCGTATAAGCTTGTTGGCTTATAAATATAGATCCATCCTTGGAACGTTCTATTTCAAGGCCAAGGTAATACGAAGCCGGCTTGCTAGTGATTTTTACAGCTTGTCCCAGCTCCTTCAAAAATTTTGTTGCCAAAGCCTCGCTTGTAGTGGCCATGAGTCCGTCATCCACGTACAACGCCAACAAAATCTTATTGCCTCCTTCTGTCTTTGTAAAGAGACAACAATCAGCTTCATTCTGTGTGAATCCTTTTTGCAACAGAATGTCTTCAATGCACATGTTCCAGCAACGAGGAGCTTGCTTTAGGCCATATAGACTCCTCTGTAGCCTGCATACTTTCGAAGAGCCATCAGAAAAGCCAGGAGGTTGTGACATGTATATTTCCTGCTCTAATTTCCCATTTAAAAAGGCTGTCGCGACGTCAAATTGTGTTAAATGAAGTTTCTCTTGTGCAGCAACGCTTAAAAGAGCTCTAATGGTAGACATCCTGGCTACCGGACTATATGTCTCCTCATAATCTAGCCCTTTCCGTTGTCTGAACCCTTTAACGACCAATCGCGCCTTATATTTGTCTATGCTTCCATCTGGGTGTCGTTTAATCCGAAAAACCCATTTACATGGTAGCGCCTTTCTATTAGACGGGAGCTCGCACAGTGTCCATACATTATTCTCCTTGAGTGACTGAAGCTCGCTGGCCATGGCTTTCCGCCATTCCGCACCGTCAGTTCTACTTATTGCTTCATGGTAGCTCTCTGGAAAGTTTTCTGTGCCTACAAAGCAGACGTAGTCATCGAACTTCTTAGGGGGAGCAAGAGTTGACCTGTCTCTAAGGTTATATCTAAGTTCCTCTTCTCTCTGGGGCTCATCTCTCAGGGGCTCGACTACAATTTCCTCTTCTTCCCCTTCTAGTCGAGGCACCTCTACTCTCAGAGGCTCAACTATGTCAAGAGGTTGCTGTTCCCCTTCAGCCGGAAAATTCTCTTCCCCTTCAGCATCGACAAACTCTCCATCATCATCTTGCTCAGTAGTATCAGTAGCATCCTCAGACCCTAACCGTAATGTGAATTCAACATTACTTTGAAAAGTTATGTCTCTGGATTTGAATGTTTGATGTCCGTCCCACACACGATATCCATCGTCGTTTTCATAGCCAATAAGAATGCCTTTCATGGCTTTCCTAGACATTTTGTTACGCTTCTGCTTTGGGATATGTGCATAACATTCACTACCAATAACCTTGAGGTGTGATATTCGAGGTTTTTTGCCGTGCCATAGTTCGTATGGAACTTTGTCTGTCACTCGACTTGGGCCTGTTCTATTCAGAACATACGCTGCGGTATTAATCAATTCCGCCCACAAAATTTGCGGTAACTCATTCCTTGCATGCATCATACTTCTCGCGGCCTCTACCAGGGTTCGGTTCTCACGCTCACTACACCCGTTCTGTTCCGGTGTGTAAGGCATTGTCAGTCTGTGCTGTATACCAAAATCCTGTAGTATTTTCTTGACGTCCTTATTATCAAACTCGCCACCGTTGTCACTAAGCAAGGTTTTCACATTATGCCCAGCATTCTTTGCCTCTTTCAGCATCTGCAGCAACTTGTCCTTGACTTCTGACTTCTGACGTATGAAGTAAACCATACGGTAGCCTGAGTAGTCGTCCTTGAACAATACGTAGTACCGGAGTTTAGTTATGCTTGGTGCAAAAGGACCGCATACATCTGTATGGATTAGCTCTCCACATACAGTAGCTCTTTCCCTGGTTCCAAAGGTCTGTCTTTGGGACTTCCCATATATGCAGCCTTCGCATTTAATATTATCAGGCTTGAGGTTCACGCCTAATTCACGTTTTACGACGCGTATTACATGCCGCTTGTCCTGATGTGCAAAACGCTCATGATAGAGCTGCAGCATATTGGAACCGGTGACAGCATTTACCTGTATAGCTCTCGGTGTTGTTGGAATTACCGTTTTAAAGTCCAACTTGTAAAGGCCTCCCTTTGGGATCCTCCTGCCAACGACTTTAGTCATGCCTTCAATTTCCAACTTGCATTTTTTTGTCGTTGATGTAAAAATACTGTTCTGCGCTCTGTCTTGTGCCGCCAACGGTGAAAAGAGATTTTTTGTGAGTGATGGTACTAGCCAGACTTCTTCAAGAGTAATATGGACTTTAGTTTCGTTGACCTTGGATTCAACTTTAATAGAACCTATTCCAACTGCAGGAATCACAGTCCCATCCGCTGTAGTTACTGTGTGATTTGAATCGAATTCACGAAAATCCGTAAACATCTTTCTTGAAACGGCTATGTGCGTGGTTGCTCCGTTATCAACATACCAAGATTCTTTATCTTGTATTTGATTAACTGTGCACGCGTTCACCATCAGCGATAAGTTCTGCACTTGGTTAGATTTAATGTCTGAATGTGACGTGCTTGGCTTTGGTGGTCTTCCATCCTTTATCCATTTCTTGCACTGTCTAACTCTATGTCCTTTACCGGAACAGTAGTTACATTTCAGATCATTTCTCTCCTTCTTGTGCTTACTCTTTTGCTCTGCAGGTGTAGTCACCAGTGCTTCCTTTTGGATGGTGCTCTCTGGACCACCTAAATCTCTTTCAAATGCGCAGAGATGACTCGTAAGACTGTCGATCGTTTTCTCAGACTGCTTCAGCATTAACCAGCTCGACTTAAAATTAAAATACCTGTCATCCAGAGTATGTAAAACCTTGCAGATAAGGAATAGATCAGGCAGCTTAGCTGTTCCGTCTACTTTCTGGATCTCCACTACTAGGTCGTTCCATAAATTCTTTAGCTTTGACAGAAGTGTAGGAATATCATCCTCTTGATCCCGTTTTAGCCCAAAAAATTCAAGACACAAGTTGTAAGCCCTGTCCTCTGTCTGCCTATCAAAAAGTCGATGCAGTTCTGCCCAAACTTCGTGTGCCGTTTTGTAACGCATAACCTTCTTTAACGTTTCTTCAGTCATATTGGTTGTCAGCATCAGGAGTGCACCGCTTTGAGTCCTCTTATATTTAGCCATTGCAGCATTATAAGTGCTTTGAGCAGCATCTCCTGCACCAGGTGGTAAAACTGGCATTGGAAGTCTATTTTCTACTGCTTCTAAAGCACCTTCCGTACCCTCAAGCATGACTGAAATTTTGTACTTCCATGTTTGCCAATTGTTTTTGCCCTCTAGTTTTCCGATCTCTAATTTCGTTGAGAAATCCATGGCACTTTTCAGTCGTCCAGTGGTGGTGGGTCCCAATACCTATTAAATGTGGTCTACTTATTTTCTTACCAATCTGGAAGCTCCGGAGACCAAATCGTGATCGATGTATTTCCCACTTTAGATTTCGGCTAGATAGTAGGGGTTTTCTCCAGTATGACAACACTGACACTTTATAGCGATAATTTAGGTTTATTTGGTTACAAAATATTTAGATTATTTGTTTATTTATTTAGTTTTATATATTGCACACATTTGACATGATCTTCTTTTTATTCACGAGTCATTAAATTTTTCTAACAGTTAGTTGCCTAGCAATGTACCAAAGAGCTTTTCACTAGTGCTATGCAACCTCAACAGAGTCAACCACTATCATTACCTAATGGCTGACCATTAGGCCACCAGGTCCTTCCTAATAAAGGAATTCCCTTCCTCTCATGCTGTAATAAAATCACTTTTTCCAATTTTTTACTGCCTCGTAATTGCGATTCATGAGATCTCGTAACAGACAGACAGATCTAGGCAGCGAAGTTCTAATAATATATCCATTCTTAATGTTTGGGTTTGGAACTCGAAAAATGTGCCGATTATTAATAAAAGGTTACAATAACGTAACATTACAGTTAAAAACCACAAAGTTGGATGGCAGTATCACTTCGTTAGAGCTGATGGAGTCTCCAGACCTGCGTGGCAACAAGCGTCTGCTGTTAGCTGGTACCAGGAGTAGTGAGATATACGCCATCAACGTGGCTACCTTCAATCCCATCCTTGTCGTCACCTGTCATCGATGTGCTATCAATGATATTGCTTTTCCTCGGTAAGTTTTTAGTGCCTAAAATAATGATGAGCTCTAACTAATGACTTCCAAGTCGGCCGATTGCTTCTTACAATCCCTTTTAGGTGGTGAGTCCACTTTTTGGTTGCTTGCACTTTCTGCTTCAGAAATGCAAATCTGGCTTTTATCATCACCTACCGCGTTGATGTTCTTGCTATTTTGGTAGCGAATTGATCCTAATACTTATTTCTCAAAATCGCATTTCTGTGCGGTCCCAAAAATACCGAGCTTTTCTTCCTCTTCTAAAAGACCTTAACGTTCTTCTGAAATTGGGTCTTACTAAACTTTTAACAAATTAGGTGATAGAAACTCATTCATCTGCCAAACCTTTCACAAATGTTTGAAAGTATTTTAAGACTATTAATTATAACTTCAGTGGTATGTCTGGTGTATTCGCGACCGCGGGCTCTGGTGACGTGAGGGTGTGGTGCCTGGAGACGTGTCAAGAGCTGCTCAGGATAGTGGTGCCGAACTTCACCTGCTCCGCTGTACTGTTCTCTGGGGATGGGAAGTCTATTGTCTCAGGTATGTATCGGCAAAAAGAAGATTCCTGTCTAAGTTCAGTTAGAAACTTAGAAACGTTAGAAAATATTGAGAGGCGTGCCAAGAGGCTCATTAATGTCGATGCGCTAATTTTTATGGGATACATTTCGGAAATGTTTGGAGAAGCTACACACCTAGTCTTTTCCACCATCGTACCAACAGACAATCGGCATAACGTCTTCACCATCGCTTCATGGTGCTTGTCCCAACCAAACGTACTAAGCGGTTCACCTCCAATTTTATAATCCGAACCGTTAAGAAGTGGGATTCTTTGCGAAAGTTTGTTTTCCCCAGGTAATACCTGTAAACCTGGGCCTCTTCAAGGCCCGAGTGAATAAATTGCTTAAACGTAGACGTAGATGTGCTCCATTGTAGATCGCATTATCGCTTACAACCAGGCTCTTATATCTTGGGAACACCCACCATTTGAAACAATACTTATTGCCACCAGCATGGAACGACGGCAACATCCGTGCGTTCACGCCGCTGACGGGCCGTCTGATATACGCCATATTCAACACGCATAATAAAGGCACGTCTGCTCTCGACATGACCGATGATGGGAGGACTCTCATCTCTGGAGGATGCGAGGGACAGGTAACAACAATATCTTTACTTACTTACAACTTGATCGTCATCGTATCAGATAGAAAACAATCGCTGCGTATTATGAACAAGTTTCAGTAATTTCGGGGGTTGACCGATTGAAAGCAACTTACACAACGACAGGTAACTGTCATAAGTACTCAAGAAAGTCAATAAATGTTTATTAGGTTCCTGAAATGGTACCTCCCACATAAAAGTGACCGATGGGTCATTCGATTATTGTGATCATCATTGCCGTCAGCCGTCAACTGCAGAATAAAGGACTATTTTACACTGTCACGTCTTTATCGTCGTCGTCGTATTTAAACAATATTATGACATGTCAAATACAGTCTTACACCCCTTTTTAACCTAAGTAAGACCCTTAGGTACAACATACCTCGGACACAATTCCAGATTCCGTGGTACCACTACTGGCGAATTACCGTAAAATTGAAAAAAACTAATTTGCAAGACCCGGTTGATCTCGTGCTGACCTAAACTATCTTATCTACTTTTCCAGGTTCGAGTATGGGATATAAAACCGGAGCGGCAAACCCTCAAGAAGGTCCTCAAGGAACACAAGAGCCCCGTGTCGGCGATACAGGTGTCGCCTAACAATAAGGAGGCGGTCAGTGCTGGTACTGACGGTTCCTGTATCATATGGGATCTTGTGTAAGTTACAATAAGGTCCCACTACCACCAAAATTCACGATTTCTTCGCCACGATTAGGTAATGTAACTCCTCTGGTGTTACCGATGTGACCCTCGACTCCCGACTGCTTAGCTGCCATGTGATCGGTTTGCTAGTTGGCAAGATTGGACATCCGACTACACGACCGGTCTTCAGTAAGGTTGTGGTACCTATCACTTTTCGAACCATTTAGTGTGGGGCAACGTTTAACATCTAATCTGTCGGTATATGAGAGACAATAGAAAACACAACGTGTCTCGCGTATATCTGAGATACAACGGGCTAAACCAATTCGCGCCGAAGCATAGATAGTTCTCCCAAAAAGAGAGAAATTGTGAGCCGTTGTGTTTTTTATTCACAACATCCATACCTATGCTTATAAGTTTATACTTAATTACTAAAATTCTCTTTTCTTTCAGATCGTTGTCCCGTCGTCAAGTGATGTACGCGAACACACTGTTTATGTGTGTGTGCTTCGAGCCGCAGGGCTGTCAGCTGCTCACTGGCGGCTCCGACAGGAGGGTCGCCTACTGGGAAACTGGCAGTGGCAACCTTGCTAGAGAGGTATTTTACAAGACATTTACCTTAAGAAACATTGTACCTACACCTCGTGTTTAAAAAAAACATTTTAATATGTTGAATGTTATAATGTCATGAACGTATTTCAGTTGGAAGCTAGCAAAATTGGCGCTGTAAATGGACTTCACATCACACGGAATGGTGAATTGTTCGTCACAGGAGGCAATGACCAAATGGTTAAGGTAAGTAACAGGACTATAGGTAACTAGGTAATATCATAGAAAAAATATTTAAATTTTGTGGTTCTTAGGTAATCATTGTGTTATTTGTGTCTAGACATTAAAAATAAATAATAATAATTAGACATAATAGTTTACTAACGCCTCTATGACTATGGGCCCCTGTCGTGGCTCGAAACTAGTCAAGCAACCTTAATTAAACAGATACATAAATAAACCGTGATTTCGTTTTATTATTTCCTATATTTAGCTATGGAAGTACCAGGAAGGCATATACACGCACATGGGTTTGGGTCACGCGGGCGCCGTGACGTGTTGCCGCTTCAGTCCCGACGCGCGATACATCGTCAGTAGCTGCGCCGCCGGCAGTATCATCGTGTGGAAAGTGCCTGAGGTAGGTACTAGAAAAACATGACACTGAAGCGTTAGTTGAGATAAATACCAATGTTACATGCTTTTTGTTGTTTCCCCACAAGGATGGTAAAGATGCATATATTGATTTTTTTTTTAAATATTTTGCCTTAAAAGACATTTTAAGCTCTATGCTAATATTGCTTTCGAAAACCTAAAAAGTTAAAAATACTTCGTTTGATCAAAACTAAGACTCGTTTTACTTATTAAGTTATTTTATAAGTTTGTTCAGCATCTCCAAACAGTTAGTTTTTTTTTCTATACCAGAAATTGTTAACATGGCAAAAAAATTGTTTGCCAAGTCAGCTAGTACGAGTATAAATTGTAAAACCGATATATTTCTAGCAATACATTCATAAAGACGCACCACCGCCTCCAAAGACCCCACAGACAGCGCAATCATCAGCGAAGAGCTTAAAAGACGAGCTCCAGCTACCTCTGGCTGAGAAAACCTCACATAAAGCTGCTGGAGACCGACCCTACGTTCCATCTGCGCCTAATAAGGTAAAATTATGTAGATAAAAAGAGAAATAATACGATTAGATTTAGATTTTCGAGCTTAGGTAGGTACTAACAACAATAAAGTCGAAAATGGATTGAAAAAGGGACCCTCGGTGGCTCGAGCGGAAATGTCATTCTCTTACTAAAAACACCCTGTTTCTTACTATTCTCCGAGCTTAAGCCGCTCAACATGCGTTTGCACTGGCAACCCCGGCTGGACTTCGGCCCTATTGGCACCCATGTTTGGTAGTCTGGTGGGTTTTTGTGGGTAATCTAAGCCTGTAATCTAATCTACTATTTTTGGAAATTATAAAACAACTTGGGAGAGTATAGGTACAATGCACGGAACAACTCTTTGTGTGATCCACGGATTGTTGTTCCGGGTCTGGGTGTGATGTGCATGTGAAATTGTATGTTTGTAAACGCACCTACGACACAGGAGAAAATCCTAGTGTGGGGCAACGTTTTTTATTAACAAAAAAAAAACAAAAAAAAATTGAAACTGTGCTATTGTAAATTAGAAATAGCCTAATCCAAAAAGTAGTTAGGTACCTACTTGCAAGTGAAGAGTTGGATTCAAACTGAGATTTACATACTACAACGAAATTGATTGAGCAAGTACTCGTTAGTACCTATATGAATGAAATGTGAAGGTATAACAAATCAGCACTTCTCTCCTCAGACGGAGAAGATTGAAGCGATGGACACGACGCGCGGCAGCGTGCATTCTTGTTGCCCGTGCGACACGGGACGCACTGACAACAGCAAGGCTTCAGACAAACCGAAACCAAAACCTACCGGACTCAAGTGCTGTAGACCACCAGGTAAAGTCTCAAACACAAAGAAATACTCACTTACTCAGATTTGAGAAATACTTACACGTAGACGGATAAAAATATGTGTACTTAGTTCCAAAATAGCTTTCCGCCCACAACATACATACTTCGAGCCTGAGTATGGAAGAGCCATGCTTTCGCACGAATGGGTCGGTTCGACCGGAGTAATACTCACAGAATATTGACGTAACCTACGTCGACGTACGTTGCGTACGACGCAACACTTACGTTGTGTGAGTGAGGTAGAGGAGGCCAGAGGCCCCTTCCTATCCCCGATCCTTAATCCTTAATAACCCACAAGACGCCGACAGTGCACCTGTAGTTAGGTACTCCTTTGGTATTGCGAGTGTCCATGAGCGGCGCCGATTATTTAACATCAGGCAATCCGTCGACTCATTCCATAAAAGTAACCTTCAAGACTGTCTCTGACAAAAATGAATAAAAATCTTTGCAGCAGTTTTTGAGTTTATCGCAATGCAAACAAACACGGCTATTAACACTATAAATAGATCTATCTAAACCTCCACATTTGTGTTTGGGCGATGGATTTCATGACACACGGTATCAAGCGACGAAATCATGCTACCCTGTATCAACAATTGATTTTTGTCCACAGATAATTTACCTACGCGAACAACAAGTAAAGAGTATGTGAGCGGCAGTGGAGATAAGAAATAAAAACAGTTCAGCTTAATGTTGTGACTAAGTATATATGATGTATACCGAATTATTTATTTATTATAACGATTTCGTAATTAAACGTATTTTGGAGTACCTTTGTTTTTTTTACTCCTTTAAACTTTCAAATTAACATAACAATACCATAACCATAAAATAACAAATTAAACCTTATTTCATTGGATACAGAGTTGAAAATCCGTAATTTATAGTTGGTTAATGTGTTTTCTGAATTGTGGGAAAGAAGATCTACCAAGCAGGAAATACTAGTACATTACAAAGTCATTATCCTTTATTTAATATTTATATTCTTAAAACTAATATGATACATATCACATTTAAAAATGCACATACATTAGCATTGTTTAGCTGACTTACAGGGCCTTGTGGAATGCAATCAAACATCTGCAGTACAATTTATTCAGAGCTGGCCTTCAGCTTGTGTTTAATTTCGGTTTAAGCTAATTCAGTCGTTTTTGTAATTAGTGAAACATTTATTTTGAAGAAATTATACAAAACTGGAGCCAACTTTTAATAAAACATATTTTAAGAATAAAACCTTTACATATACTTACTTTGCATATATCACACTCTATTTGGTATGCATTTGTATAGTATTACATTAAATCAACAAAAAATAGTTTAAAATGTTGGGTTTTTAATTGAATGCTGACATAAACTATTCCCATGTTACAATTCTATTCCAGCAACAATGTGTGATCTTTTCCAATTCCAAAACCAATTTGATATTTTAGATTCCAGTTACATTTTTAGTTCTTAGTCATCATCAAACAAAAATAAATGACGATGGTTTGACCTCTAAATAATGCTAAATCACATATTATATTGTTGATGCATTTTAGGACAAGTTTAAGTAAGGATTTAAATGTCTGAGCGCAACATTTAGTAAAAGATTATAATATTAAAGTGACTAGAACTAAAACAATTTTACATGTAATACAACTATACTTACATTTTTCTAAAAAATAGGTATGACCGGTATAATAAAACATTTATATACAGCACATCAAAACTGATTCAGTTATTGTTGTGTGTGTGTAATTATAAACCAACAAATAGGTGAAATAAAAAGAACAACATTTTTTTGTTACAACAGTGGTTGATACAAAGGATGACAGGCCATAAATGACCCAAGGGTGAGATTGGCCCACCTCTTTAGGCACTGCATGTGATTTGTTCTGGTAAAACTGCTAATTGATTTAATAAAGATAAAATGTAAGCTGTATAAACCACACCATTTGTTGACTAAAGCACTCATTAAACACAACTTTGCATACCATAACAGCCTGCTAAAGACCATGATCCAATATAAAATCAACACCTTATTTTTAAAAGTCTCAACATGACACTGTGGGAGTTTACACTCTGGAGGTTATACTCAGCCCCAAGCCTGACTCTTGCAGTAATGTAACACTAATTTACCATCAGTACCAAAACACTCATATAAGTTCTTCACTAATTGGTCCGGAGATGGTGCAAATGTCTGGTTCACATACAGAAACTGAAATGACAAACATTAAACATTAATTTATAACAGCTGTAAAAATACTATATTTTGAAGAGTAGGAAGGTATTTATTTCCACTATTATTGTTATTGATTAAAAATACTACAACAATATTGTGTAGTGACAACCAATAATAATAACCCTCAATTAGACAATTACAATTGGGTAGTTTCCTAGGTCAAAAATAAATTATTTCAAGGTTTCAATACAATAAAATATTGAAAAATAACTATACTTTTATTCATCGATTGATCAATACTCTAAATTTTAGATGTTTTGAAGATATTGTTAAGAAATAAGTAAGCTATTTGACACCATAAAACAATGAGGTCATAACTCAGTTTTTAATACAAATTTCATAGAAAAGTATTGTTTTTGACATTTAGATAAAAGTATTGAATTTGACTAGTTGGAAACTACCTTATTACATGTTTACTAAATAAATTTCTGAGACAATAAGATAGTATTAATAGCTTAACAACTATTATCTACCTACCAATTTCTCATTGGGTTCTAATTTGAGATACTTTTTCACAAACTCCATGATCCATCCAATTGGCTTCTCTGCATCAACAGCCCACTTCTTTTTCTTCATAATAGGGGCATTTCCCGTGGCTTTCAACAGAATATCAACTGTAAAAGGAAAACAATATTGTTTATTTGTCAATAAAAGATCTAGTGAATGTACTACTAGTCAAATTTTAATATAAGTACTAATAACAATCTCTGTCATAATTTAGTGTCTACTTTTAATACTTTCCATAAACGACACTACAGATTAAAGACAATCCTCAAATGAAATAGTCAAATGGATCACAGCATATTACTACTTCAATGAGTTTGAATAACAAGCTCATCACTACGAAAGGTAGCAGAGACTGATAGTAAAAACGCAATTAAACCAGTTGTACAGTTATACTGATAAAAATATAGTCTTTATAGCTAATTCTGTCATGATAAATAAACCAATAAACTTACTTTTGACTTTGTTGTCGCCTTTCGAGGCGTCTCCATTATCTTTTTGTTCACTCTCAATTTTTAAGCTCTCAGTAGCTTGAGATAAGTCTGATTGAACATCATCGGTTTGTTTGTCGTCGCCCATTTTTAAATAATAGGTATATTTAAACAATATATCTCTCACACAGTTACAAATCCAAAATATTGAAGACAAGACAAAAATTTTCAACAAATCAACAATTTGTACCTACATGATTTTTTTCTGTCAGTGTCACCCTATGAAACGTCATAGTGAATGATTAACATTTGAAATAATTTGATGTTCGGATTTATCACGGAGGAAATACTATGGTGAAGCCGTCTAAGATTTATTTAATTACTAGCGGCCCGCCCCCGCTTCGCACGGGTCCTACTATCTCGCTATCAGATGGACACTTTTTCCTAATTGTCCCCTCTACTTTTCTAATATTTTCTTTGATAAGAACCTTCTCCTGACAGTAACAAACACAACAAAAAATAATTAGAAAAATTGGTCCAGGCGTTGCTTGTTGAGTTATGCGCTTACCAAAACACATTTTGCGATCCATTTTTATAAGTAAGGATTTGAACAACCAACAAAGCTTACGCTCAATTACTACGTCGACTAGAGTATATAGTAGTGATGGGCCGAGTCGTCTTTTTGATAACTCGAGTAACTCGAGTTGACCCGATAACCAACTCGGGCTGCAACTCGAGTTGACTCGACCCGATCAGCCATAAGATACGTCGCGTCCTTCGCCGCGTTGTCCGGGTTGTCCGTTCGAGTTAGTAAACGCTCGACTCGGTGCATCGTTCTGCGGGTTGCTAGTTTGCTTGTCGAGCCCGACGGGCTGTGTGGGGTCGAGTCCATGCTAATGATAGTCAAATAAAATAAGCTTGTCAAAAAAGGATTAGGTGGTTCACTAAGGTACTCGTATGTCCACTAAATTTGTATTGACTAGAACACAAATTGCATTGTACTTTAGTATTATTGTCTATTTTCGAAAAAAACTCCCACGCCACACTTTTCCTGTTTCCCGGAGCCATTCTAAACTTATTAATCAGACAAAAAACACTTAATAAACTAATAATACCGCAACAAAACAATAAATTACGAACTAAGTAGTAATAACAAAAACGTAAACAAAACAAATATCTAATCTTTTGTGTTAAAACTCTGTCATTTGTTCGCCGAAGACGAGAACTATCTCTTTCACTCGCGGCTCGCGGCTCGGACGACGCGACTACGTTTCGTTGTTCGGGCTGACTCGGGCTCGCTCGGTGTCGTTCGGGCCTCGCGAATCGCGGGCTAGGCGGCGAGCGGGTGGCGGCGTCGAGCGGCGCGCCGCGGGCTTGCAACCTAACCGCCCCGCTTGCCACCGCGCGCGCTCTTCGGTTCGACCCGAGTTGCAGAAATATTTACTCGGGCTGACTCGCTCACGGTCTGACTCGAGTTGCCCGAGTTAGATAACTCGAGTTGCCCATCACTAGTATATAGTATAGAGATATGAGATTTAAGCGTACGCCATTAAACATGTGTCAAATTATTCTGTAAACTGAAACATTTTAAAATGTACATTTAATTAAGCCTTTGCTGCCACTGCATGAATTTTATTCAGAAGGAGAATTTATAATTATTAAAGACCGTCGTAGGGGACTCCGTGTCTTTTTTTTTTTTGTGTTCACGTCCTGTCAAAGCCCTGTTTCAGATTGTCAGTCCCATGGTCAGTCCGTCATTATTCATGATAATAATCTGTCTGTGGTCAGGTTGATTAGTCATATTGTATAGTCTATGGTCTACTACGTCACTAGTCAGTCAGTCAGTCAGTGCAATCCAGTTCAGTTTGTTGTTGAATAGGTTAAAGAACTAAAGAAAGACATATTGGAAAACCAAGGTAAGTTAAAACATTGTAATCTCTGTTTCACTAATATCTTATATTTGATACGTTAATTCCTTGTAGGAGTCAGTATTATTCCAATGGTCAATAACATTTCTGATGAAAATGTTTTATTTTGATTGAAATTCAAGAGTAGAGATCTTTTGTACCATTACTACAGACTATACGATTATTTTAATATTATAAAACTTACATTTTAGCATATTTCTTGTTGAAGAACACTCATTTGTCCATCAGCGATTATAGTAAGTGGAACATGACCAGACAGTGACATTGGGAAACGAAAATTTGTAACAACTAACAAGCACAGTATTCATAAATCTAATATATCTAATATCATATTTGATAACATTATGTATGTCCTATTATTAAGTTGAGATGGCATACCTTCTGAATTATACTTAAAGACATTTATATTAAATTCCAGATTTGTTTTTCCAGTTAATGGACTTGTAAGTACTTGTTTGAGTGCAATTATGGCAAAAGTGAAAACTTGGAAAACTAAGGCGGATGTGTTGAATGATATAGCAGAGGCTACAGGCATGGCACCAAGGAATCATGATATAGCCGCACAGTACATAGTTGTGGGAGATGCACCACCACCACCATTATTCATGGAAGATGAAGGTAAGTAACTAAAAATAGTTTAAAACTGTATTAATGGTTACAACTTACTTTAAATAGGTATTATAGTTTATTGTATTGTTTCTTCAACAAGATCCAACTTTTATACTATTAACTACCTCCTTTAAATAACAATGAATAATTTTCAATTAATTTAGGAGATGGTAGATAATTTTTTTTGATATTAAAATTGATGTATATTTTGAGGGCAGTTAAAATTCCTTCTCTGTATGTATAACTAAATTTGTTTTGATCTTATTTTTAACTACATATGTGCATTGCATCATTACAATATGGTGTAATTCAACTTAATGTAGTTTCGAATTACATGGACACTTAAACAAAAGCAGTTTCCAAATATGGTATTGAGTTTTGTAACCAATATTATAAACAGACATCTGAAAAATGAGATCAGACATTCCAATAAGGATGCAACCTGTTTCTATGTGATCATTTATTTTATAAGTACCTAACTACCAAACAATTAATTCCTTACTTTTATTTAGCTTTCAAAGAACTTTTCTAGAATGTCAAATGAATTGTCCTACAAACATTAATTACTGATAAATGGACCTTCTTTTATCAGTGGAAACCACTTATATTGGTTCTCTTTTATTTAAAAAAAAGTTCAACTTTATGATTTTAGAATATAGCAGAAAATCTTCTGATAGATTGAGGTAGCTTGATGTGCTGTTGTCTGTGCCAATTACGAATATGGAATATATATAATACATTGCCATAATGTTTTGTCATCAATCTTGAATGACATGTCGCAACTTGTTCAGACTTGCAACAAAACTGCTGATGTTATTGGTAATTTTTATATTACTGAGTCACACACAAGTAAACATGTGAATTATCATAATAATTGTGAGTCACATGTATACAACAACATCTATACATAGCACACTTTTAATTCCTGGAAGACTTCATGATACTAAAGTAATATTATAAATGGTTTTTAAGTATGAATGTTCTTAATGCCGTCACTGATTGCAACTTTTTGTCACCATAACTTTTGTTACTATCACTTACTGTGTTCACTTAAACTGTTCATTCTTGAAAAATCACATGCATTGGTGTAATTGATTGATTTCAAAGAGATTGCTGTCAGTGCACTTGAAACTTCGATCAACAATACCATATTGTTGAATGAAGACTTGAAATAATCAGAAAAAAAATAGGTTTTTCATTTACTTGGAATCTATTTCTAAAAACTTTTGGAAGTTCTCACATAGTATTGCAATTTTGTGACAACTCAATGGTTTATGAATTCTGTTAATGAAATGCAGGTTTGGACTTTGGACGGAATCTAGTTATGATTCGTGTCTCTATTCATGTTTTCGTCTAACTCGTGAATATGTGACCAGTAATATTCGGAAAATAACCAAATTTCGAAAGTTTTTATAACATACATACATAAAATCTGTGTGTGTAGCATGTACATGTGACAAGACACAAGACCTTTTTTAATTATTTTTTTATATAAGCATTAATATTTTATTTTTATATATTAGAAGATAATCTATTAGGATTATCTTCTAATATATAAAATTCTTGTGTCACAGTTTTCGTTGCCATACTCCTCCGAAAGGACTTGACCAATTTTGATGAAATTTTTTGTGCTTATCCGATATCTATGAGAATTAGCCAACATCTATTATTCATCTTCCTAAATGTTAGGGGTATTCCACCCCGAAATTTTTATTTTTTAGACAATATTTTTATTTTTTTATGATACAACATACAATCCTCATTTTTCACCCGTCTACATCAACCCTTATTTTATGGCAAAACAATGTTTGTTGGGTCAGCTAGTTTTGTATAATATAATAACCAATTAAAATAATATCTACTCGGGTTTGATAGTAGCGACCACATCCACCCTACAATCTTATCTAATAGGCTCCTGGCTCAGTACCACACCACATACCGATGTGTATAATGTACATGTTCGGTGTCATGAGATATGGAATTTCTCACGCCAGGCTTGTTATAGATATGAAACTTCAGATATGGATTGGACACGAATATAGAAATAATTATTATACCGCGAATTGCGGGGCAAGCGTAATGAGCCACCGCGGCCTTGGCCCAGAGCAGGAAATTGTACAGGAGGGTTTTTAGTCAGTAAGAGTCTGACACTCTCTCTCGCCTTTACCTGAGCGGGTGAAGTCATTAGATTTTTTTTTTATTTAATATGTCGGCAAATTAGCAGACGTTTAACCTTGATGGTAAGCAATCAGCGCCGCCCATGGACCCCGCAACAGAGGAGTTACGAGTGCGTTGCCGACCTTTTGGGGATTAGGGATTTGGAGATTTAGGGATTGAGGGAGGGGAGGATTGGGCCTCCGGTAACCTCACTTACACGGCGAAACACAACGCTATGGTTGTTTCACGCCGGTTTTCTGTGAGGCCGTGGTATCATTTCGAGCGAGCCGACCCATTCGTGCCGAAGCTTGGCTCTCCCACAGTTTATCACTTGTTACTTCTTCTTCTACCTAACAAAAACAAAATTGACTGCTCATGCAGTGGACAATTGTAACAACTCTTTGTATGAACCACAAATTGTGTCTGGGTCTTGGTGTGATATTTAGAAACGCACTCACGAAACAGGAGAAAATTCTAGAGCAGGACACGTAGTTTAGAACATGGAAATAAGTAATTCCGGAGGTTGCATTTAACAAAACATTCAGTGAATATAAATGATTCAATGGTGAACTTGTGCAGTGTCAACTTTGCATTTTAAGATGTAGGTAATTTTTCATTGCCATAGATCCCGAGATGAACCTGATGTTCGGAGACTCATACAGAAGATCGTCAGTAACAGAGAACACAGGCCCTGATTGTGCCGGCATCCTGCAATTGTTAGAAATGGTGAGAGTTATTTTAAGTTGTGATAGTGGTTTATCTACCGTTGTTGTAGCCCTTGTGCACTTCGACTTACGTATTAAATACGGCCTCTGCGGAGTACTTACGTATTCCTGCTACCAGTGCTTCAAGTCTAATAACATAATCATGGGGCGATCTGGTAAGAGCTAGAATTTTAGAGAAAAAAAAGTATTCCTGAAGTAGCCACCCGTGTTCTGGTATAGGTCATTAATGTGAAACACACATGTAATAGGCGAAAATAGGTATATAATTTTAGATTGTTTAGGTATGTCCACTTTCTCTTTCTCTATATCTCTCTTTGTATATGTATACCTATATAAATGCTCCTATTATTCATTCTTGTTGTGAAAAACGTCGTGTTTCTTTTATAGGTGCGGAACTCGGAACGCAATGATGACGACGAAGATGCCGATGGCATCGGTGATCAACTCAATTACGAAATTACTATTCGTAAACCAAAGACTGATTCATTATTAAATCCCAATGTCAAGGAATTCGTACCGAAAGGTGCTGGGAAAAAAAATAGTAATGTGTTGCATGCAAATGGTGTTGCACAGAATGGCAGGGCGGGAATGACAAGCGAACAGGAACGCGACAATGGTAGTAGCAATAGTGTCACGGCAGAGACAGGCACACAAGCGAGCTACGAACATATTACGACTGCTCTCAAGAACACTATAAGTGAGGCGGCTCACTCAGACAACCAGTCGTTCCATTTGAAAAAACAAAAAAACGTTGCAATCGCAACATTGTTGCGGCTCTACGCCAACAACAACAACACCAGCTCAAAACCAGACGTTAAGCTATGGACTCCAGAGCAATTTGAAAAGAAAAAAGACGACAGTTCAGATGTTAAGATAGAAGAAAGCAACGCAACTACCGAAGTACAAGCTTCATCTTCGATTCAAATCGAGCCCATTACGAGTCCAGACAGCAGTAACAGTATCGGCCCAGCAAGAGCCCTAGAACAGAACTCGGAGATGAGAGAATCAATTGAGAAAGTCAACCATTGGTTTAACATGCCAGTCCAGAAAAAACAAACAAAATCTCTTTACCTAGGTCCTATATCTTTTAAAAGAAAGGATCCAGTGGTAAAGGCCAGCACATCTCCACAACCCAGTACAACATCCAAGTCGGACAGTCCATCGACAACAATTAAACTGTACAAACCGACTAAGTTTGCTGCGGACTTGGGGAAGCAGTATCTTGAGCGCAGCCAACAGAAGCAAAGAGATGAAGAACTAAATGTCAACTGGGCGAACCTCGGTGATGTTCTAGAAAAAAAGGACATGGCTATTAGAAAACGGTTGGAAGCGCAAATGTCGCCTTGCACAAGCAATGCCGACTCGTAACTCCCGCAGTGACAATAATTGCTATTAAGTAAGAGCTTAGTTGAATGGTCGGAACCACTACCTATTTTAAATGAAAATCTCACAAAGAACTTTAAGTACTTGCAATCGTTATTATCGTTGTCAAACTGAGACGTAATTTTAATTATTCAAAGTTATAATTGAAATAATTGATTAACAAGTAATTTTTGCTTGCTACGGCAGATTTTATCCATTATAATTATTTTATTGTTATGTATTATGGGAAAATCTCTGCAATACTCGCGGGAAGGAAAGTTTCAGAGAGACAAATGAAAGTGTTATAAGGAGTGCAAGGTATGCGGTGTGCAATTCACGTATTAAAAATTGTTTTAAAAGGCTGTAGAAGGCCAAATACGCACGCAGATTTATAAAGTCGCATTTGTTTAAAAGCCAGTGAATGTTGACAAAAGGCTTATACAGAGATATACTACTTTATTTTTACCTTTATGTATTCACATTTGGCATCTTTTAAAGCCATCCTTAACATTCTTCTCTTCAAAAGTAAGTCAAAATGACGATAAAATAAATAAGCCTTTTGTATAATTGACTGACATATCATAGTTGTATGTGATAGATAAGTGAAAATTGTACTTTTAATGGTTGTCTGCCTGGTTCTGATCTTGGATCAGGTAAAATATTACTTACAGCATGTTTTAGGCGCAAGCCTAAAAAAACTTACTATGGCATTGCGCCTTAGGGCAATCAGAAATATGATATTATTATCCAAATCTATACGATGTTGCCAAATGTTGTTTTATATTTAAGAATATTATTTATTATTATAGTAAAACGAATGTGAGGCTAGTTTCAGGCGCTAAGCCTTTGTAACACTAATCTCAACGGATTTCATATCTGTCATTTAGTGATATGTCTCGTCCAAATAAATAAGTATTTGTCCACTTGTGTTGGACTGTAGTGTAAATAATTATTTTATCCTTATTTATAAGTGTGTAGCCTCGTCAAGGAACATTAAAGATTTTATTTTTATAGATAAATTTACCAATTTTACTATTTGAAAGAACTATATTGTAGGTAGTTTGTATGGGGACATTTTATACGCGTCTAGATGTGATTTTTATATGGAAACCCAAACACGACCAGGGTGATAAATGTAAAAAACTATGCCATATTGTACCAAAAATATAATGAGCAGGCAGAAAAAAGTAAGATGTTAAAAAAATATTAATGATTCACTCACCCAGAAGTCCTTAGGACTTAGGTAAAGCGTCAAAACGTTTGGTACGTAATTTTACCTTTTCAATTGCTTCAACACTTATAATGTCAAGTTATATTTTAGCAACTTAAAATCCAACGTCAACTTGTAAGTCGAGTGTTTGTTCCAAGTGGACATACTCATTGAGATGTGACGCCATCCGCACCATATCATCTAGAGAGACACAAGACAACTTTACACCTAATACATTAACATTACTGTTTGAGTCTGAAGTTGTGCCGACATCAACAGTAATAAAGTAACACATCCATATGTGTACAGTTTACGTTTTACGGCAAATAGGTGTATTAAGTTACCCTTCTGCTTATCCTTTAAGGGAATAACGGTGTGATATTAGACAATGTGAACTAATAATAAAGACCTTTACCGGTCGGACACGACTGTACATGTTTTATATTTTGTATATTCTTTGTACATAGATATCTATTTGATGATTTTATACATATGCGACAGCGATGAGGCTGCTTTTATTAGCTTTCTAGAAATAACTGTAATATGGTAAACAATAACAACTCTGTATTGTATTGATTGTATATAAATTGGAAACTATAATCACGTGTCACTGAATAGTAGTCTTTTGTTGTTGTCTGATTAGCAGCCACATTCGTGTAGACGTGACCTGTATTGTCCAGCTGGAAACTATCCCAGACTTTATGTAAATAGATTGCTCATTTTCTTTTCTTAGTATTCGTTTTTTTTTTTTGTTCGGTTCCCTAGAAAATGGTTGAATTTAGCGGTGCTTGGTTATTTATTATCACAGGACATGCTCGCATAATTGTGATATACTGTTCAAACTGTAATTTGAAAAACATTTCAGTTCTGATAATGGTAACCATGCTGTGTCTTAATAGTTATTACTTCAATGAAATAAATAGTTTGAATTTGAATGTACTTTTTTTTTATTTGACCTTACTTATAGATATAATCACTTTTTGTAATTACACATATTTTGTTATGCCAATTCTATAGCTGGAGTATGCTGAACCATCAGATTAACGGGTTTCCTGTGAGGATGATCATTTATTTCAACACGCTAAGGACAACAGCAATGACCTGATTGAGGCGCCAGCCTTGTATGTCATTTCTTTGACTTTTGACTTAGAAAAATGTCTTCGTGTAGGCGTCAAAATTTTAAATGACATGGTTACTTATTTCTAAGAAATAGTTAATTTATTTGTACCTACGGTTGGCGTAGAAATTGGGCAACTGGCTGTAATGCAAAACGGGTTAGATTCCCGTACAGAATAATTCTTTGTATGATATATCATTGTTGTGCCAGATCTAGAGGTGATGCGTATGCTTGTAAACTATCACCACGACACTGGAGAAATTAGAAAATTCCTCGCCCATAGACACCTGCAACCTGCAACCCCAGTGATTTGCAATGTGCTTTGCCAGCCTTTTGCGGGTTATTAGAGGATTGGTGTAGGTAACTAGGTACCTATTTGGTTCCTGGTAAATTACCTATATTTACTTTGCTTAGTTGAGTGTCATAATTTTTGATTATTTTTAATATTTAGACTGCTCTTTAGCCAACTGAAGACAATGAAGGAAGGCCACATACCTATTGTTTTTTTTATATTGTTCCTTGTGATTGTGACAAGTAATACTTAAGGCAGGTCTCTGGTTTTGTGCTACTTCGTAAGCGTTTTACAAGTGTTTTTTTTTTCGAATTGAGAGGTCGGATATCAGAATCCCAGTATTTTTTTTGTTTGTATAATATTTCATCTTATGTTTTGTACCTACGGTTGTTATAAATTACGATTTGTAAAATAAATGGCGCTTTGGAACTCAGGTAAGGTGTGTGACTGGATGTTCATGATTGTCGCGCTACCAGAATGAGAATCGATTCTAAGAGTATGGATACCGTGGAGTAGGAAAAAAGACAATCTACTTAATTATTAGTTTTTTTTTTATCTTAAATGCTAATTTGCTGTGTATACAGTTAATTTACCGTATTTTATTTTAATTATTAATTTAATTGATCAGAATAGGGTTATAATTTTATGAAAATTAGGTACCTACGGTAACTAAGTAGTCGCACGATGAATTGAAATGACGGACAAATGAACTTAGAACTCAGTACCTAGGTAAACAACTAGGAGAAATAATCGCCTTCCACTGTTGCTTGAAATTTACTTGACATAAATATACGTCACTTGTGTAGGTATTTTAGTGGACAAGTTTTTCTTTAGATATATCTACCTACTAATCTCAACTCAAACATTTTCACGGCAAATCAGTGTACGGAGTCAGCAATACACGTTACAGTTGGAAGGTACTAACCTACTTTCTTTAAAAATTCTTTAGTTTTTAAATGTCCAGCATAACGTGGAGCGACCAATGTTCCGGTTCGACTGGAGTGATAGATACAATGGCTTCATAGTAAACTATTATTATTATCTTATTGGCGCCGTGTGTCACCAGTCAATGTATATTTAATTCCTGAATGGTCAATGTAAAGAAAGCTACTGTCAGTGTCAGGGCACGGCTTGACAGCCATTGACATAGGAAATATTTTCTATCTCAATGTTGACAGCAATTGAGCTTCGTAGGTAGTGGTGAAGGACATAGGTGTTTTTGTCAGTGCCACGAGGTTTTTTTTCAACTTAAATATTATTTTATTGAATTATAAGTTGAAACCACCTCTGTGTTGTGATTGTCCAATATTTGTTTTAAAAAACTATTGGTAAGGTGAGTAAAATTTCCCCTAATACTAAGAGTATTTAATTTTATTTGTTTTTAATATGGAGGCTAAAAAACCTCCCGACCCTCCAGATAAACTATTCGAGTACACCCCTGTAATGACTGTTACCCTCCCCAACCCCGGAAATGATGCCATGGATGCAGAAAATATTTCAAATAGAAAAAGACCTGCACAATCTCCCCCAGTTACTGTAATTAACCCACCCAAAGTGGCAAAAGTTAACGGAAGGCAGTGCTACACACCCAATGATGCTCCACCGTATATTGTTCATGTTGCTTTGAGAGATTCGCAAACCTCAGGCACAACCCTACACCCTGTGAAATTTGGCATGTTCTTAATGAAGAACAACATAAACAATGTACGGATGGATGGTGTTAAAAGATTAGGACGAAATAAAATTTCAGTGGAATTTAAGTCACACCAAGACGCTAACAGCTTCTTAATTAATGGAGTCGTAGCCCAACATAATTATATAACTTCCATTCCACTGTTTAACATTACACGTATGGGTATTGTTAGAGATGTCCCCGTAGACTGGACTGAGGAGGAAATTGTTGAAAATATCAGGGTCCCCTCTGGATGTGGCAATGTTATCAAGGCAAGGAGAATGAACCGAAAAGTTGTTTCCTCTGATGGTTCAGAGTGGAAACCTACACAAACGGTTGTCCTCACATTTGACGGTCAAATTTTGCCAAAACGAGTTTACTGTTTTTACACTGCTCTTACAGTAGAAAGGTACACATATCCCACGGTACAATGTTTTAACTGCTGCCGCTTTGGACACACACGTACCTTATGCCGCTCAAAGCCTCGTTGCTTCAGATGTGGTCAGGACCATCCTGGTGATGGTTGTCTGGTTTCAGATGACATTGCAACCTGTGTCAATTGTCATGGCAATCACTTTGCTAATAGCAAAGGTTGCCCTGAGCTAGGCCGTCAGAGGAGTATAAAGGCCCTCATGGCGGAAAAATCCATATCATATGCAGAAGCGAGTCAGGTCTTTCCCACCATCAAGAGGTCATATGCAGAGGTTTCAAAATCTTTACAACAACCTAAACCCAAACTGCCCCAACATAATAATAATACTCCCCAAACTCCCAAATCTTA